GTGAGGTTTTCCGGGTAGAAAGCCATTTCTACCTGGAAAAGCTCACCGGAAGCGCTGGCGCTGCCATCTTTTTTGGATGAAAAAGTGCTTCCGGTGAGGTCACCGGAAGCACTTTTTCATCAAAAAAAGATGGCGGCGCCCAGCTAATGCCGGTACCGGGCCGCACCATAAAAAAGGTTGGGGATACCGGGCCGCGGCATAAGAAAGGTTGGGGATCGCTGGTATAAAGGATACAATGTAAGATGAAATGAATTGACTTTATGTTCTCCTGAGGCTCCGCGGTGCTTTGAAGTGTAATAATTATTTCATTTATCTTCCAAATGCTCCCAATTGATTAATTCTTCTACACATTCCCATCTTGTTTGCAGGCGGCTGCCCTGCCAAGGGATATTCATTGTATTAATCCAACTATGTTTGGTGGCAGTTAGGTTGGGAAAAGTTGACACAAGCCAATCCATGAACAGTTTTGGTTATGCCTGATGTCAATAACAGTAAAATTATCTACAACTGTATCTCCCTACTGATGATATGTGTGTCAGCATAAATGCATATACGCCTCAGCAGATTATTGTACCTATCTGATCTTGCTGGACTTAACATAGAAATTAAGCAAACCCATGCAATATAATTGTTAATATAATCCCATTGTCTGAATTTAACTGCGGCTGCATTGGAGACAACTTTATATGCTTAGTAAAAGGATTCAATTTCAGCACAAATGCCAATTGCCTCCTTTGTATTTGAAGCATTTTCCCCAGTGTAATAATACATGCACATACAGCATAGTATTAACCATTAGGCAAGTGAAAATGAGCTCAATCTGTGTATTCTCCCAATAGTCTGGATGCTTGAAAGGGGATGGAGGTAGAGCATAAAATGTAGGACAGAAGAAAGTAAATGTTACCTATTGCTATGCAATGCAGAATGTTGTTGAGTATTTCAGAAGCTGCTCTGTATTCCAAATAATAATAATAGCCTTATCTCCTCTCCTTTAGCTGATAGCAGTCAGCAAGTTCTCCTGATTTCCGAGGAGCTGGCTCTCAAGACAGAGGATTCAATCCGGCAACAGGAGGAGATTACCCAACTTCTAGCTCAGATTGTAGAGCAACAACAGAAGTGCCGTGCAGTAAGCAGAGGAACTGAGCAAATTTGGCCAGTTTTTGTTCTTTATTTCTTTATTTGATTGATTGATTTGATTTATATAACCTTCCATCTTGCATACAAGACTCTGAAGAATTTATAATGATTTAAAAAGAGTTTAAAAGAGAATGCAGTCTAAAAACACATAAAATCATATTAACACTCTACAGGCGATCTTCAACTTACAACAGTTCACTTGAAGTTACAACGGTACTGAAAAAAGTGACTAATGACCATTTTTCACACATGATCATTGTTGCATCCGCATGGTTACATGATTGAAGTTCAGGTGCTTGGCAACAGACTCATATTTATGACGGTTACAGTGTCCTGAGGTCATATGATGCAAAGTCAATGGAAAGCCATATCCACTGAACAGCCATGTTACTAATTTAATAACTGTAATAATTCACTTAACCAATGTGGCAAGAAAAGTCATAAAATGGGGCAAAGCTCACTTAACAAATTTCTCATTTAGCAACATAAATTTCAGGCTCAATTGTGGTCATAAGTTGAAGACTACCTGTATAACAGTAGTGGAGATACAAAAACAGTCAGCAACATTCAACATAGTGACATAGCCATGTCTTAAAGGACTTATGACAGCCAGTACAAATGGGGCCTCCGGGAGATGACATTCCAAAAGACAGGTGACATTTCAGAAAAGGCTTTCAGTATAAGCCCTGCCACACATGCCACAGTCTAGCAGACTCAGGGTATATGCCAGAGTCATTAAACAGCTCCATTCTTAGTGTGTCAGTAACAATTCAGTCACATGGGAGATACACTCTGTGTGTGTGTGTGTGTGTGTGTGTGTGTGTATATATGGATCTTTGGTTATTCGGGTTTTCTCCCGTGTAAGATTGGAAGTATCTAGGCAACGTTTCGATGAAGTCTCATTCATCATCTTCAGGCTTCTGTCTTCAGCTCTGTGCTTCTCAGAGTGATGTGAGCTTGCAGCTGCTTCTTCCTTTAACTGCTAGTGGGGGTGTGACAGATTTTATGGGTAATAGTGGAACATTTAACAGCATATGTTACTCTGCAGTCTTGAAGCCTAAATTCATGATAATGATCTAATGCCACCCGCATAGAGGACCGCTGTGGCTCATGTGGTAAAACACTGGGTCTGCACACCACTGAGGTCAGCAACTCGGCGGCTCAATTTCTGTGAGCGAATAAACCACTGAGGGGCTAGAAAGGAGCCTCCCTTGATTGCCTACCGGCGTTCAGGCATCCTGATAACACTGCCCCAAAGAATTCCTTTCACAGAGGCAGCCAACCACCTTGATGATCGATCCCTGGCTAACTTGTGCCATACGCTAAATAAATAAATAAACCATCAGCACAGAGAAAACATCCAGGGTCAAGATAGATAAGGAAGCAAGTTTGCCTTGAGAAGTCTGTAAATTCCTTAGAAAGAAAGAGGGGTTCTCTTTTTGCTTTTTTTCCACTTCAAAAATCTATAGCAAGAAGGCAAAGGCCCCTCTGGTGTGTGTGTGTGTGTGCAAGGTAAGCTTCAGATTCACACATTTCCTTCTGCAATCCTAGTGCAAGTGTTCTTCCACAAAAAAAGATATTCAACACAGACATAAGATAGTAACTGGGCTAGTAAAATAGTGTTATTTTGATTACCCCGATGAATCTACCCAGATGAATTTCTGTAGCATTGCTATGCCCCATGCCAGATGTTAGGGTTCATTTGTCATCAACCCAACCAGTTTGGCTAATGGGAAAAGCTTGTGGAACATGTAGTCAAACAACATCTGGAGCACCACCCACCTGTCCTCAGACAAATAAAACATTCCTTCCAGTTTGAGTTGTTTTCATAATATCTGTTGTACAATTTTCAACTAGACTAATTTTTAGTGGCTTTGGGCTAATAGGATTGTTAATAAAACTGGAGACCCATTGTTCTTGGGGAGGCATGTATTCTGCTTCACCATGTTGCACATCGAATAGAATGGAATTCCAAAGGTACTTTTTCTGGCTTTTCTTTGAAGACGTTTTGCTTCTCATCCAAGAAGCTTCTTCAGCTCTGGATAAGAAACAAAATGTCTTCAAAGAAAAACCAGAAAGTCGAATTGCCTTTTGAAAAAGCACTTTGGGGACAGCCATGACCTGGATAACTGAGAATCTCCATAGACAAATGGAATGAAATAGAATTAGGAATAGGACGAGAGTGATTGGACACACAAGGAATTTTTCACCATTGCATAAGCTCTCAGTGTACATACAAGCAACAAAGTAATATAATCATAAGATATCAATAGGAGAAGGTAGTAGAAAGGGTGAGAAGGATAATCATACTGTCATACTGTAAAAGTAAATATACTTAGACATAAGACTGTACTGTGAAGATTAGGTGTAGGAGCAGAGTGATGGCATGAAGGAAAAAACTATCTCTGTTTCTGGTTGTTTTGGCATGCAAATGCCCTATAGCGCTGCAGTGTCTTGAGGGGAAGAGTTGAAATATTTTATGTCAGTTTATGGGAATAACCATGCATTTTGAAGTGTTTATATTGTAAATTCTGTTGTGTACATGTGTAGTGGTGAGGTGTTTTTTTTTTTTTTTTTGCAGTGGGGATCTTAAACAATTTATTATAGCACCCAAATTACTCACCTGAAAAATATATACCATATATAACCTTAGCAGTATAAACCTGATGATTGATTTTTTTTTGCTCTTCCCTTTCTCCTTCAGTATTGTGCTGAAGTGGAGCAATTGCAACAGCAACTCACTGCATCCAAAGAAATCCAATCGCAGCTTCGCAGAGAGGTAGGTCTCTTGAGCAGCAAAGGGGGGAGAGAAGTGGTTGTGTGGAAAGGATGGCAAGGAGCTTTGAGCTTTCCATAAATTAACCCAAATGGCTTTATGGCAACATGTTACAGTTTTCTGTACAAACAGTGCAGCCTTTGATGGAGGTGTGTGTGGGTCAGTCACAGTAGAGTTGACCACTGGGTGATTTTAAGTACCACATTTTTAAAAATAAGCAGTGCCAGGACAAAGCAGATAGTTGGGCAGAACTAGAAGTATGATTTAAAATTATATTAGTACTTAATTTCATCATTTCCCCACTTCTGCCCAGCCTAGAAGTTACATCTATCTTATTTAAATTGGCAGAAACTTCTGAATGAAGAAAGTCAGCCTACACAAACGTACATCCAAATGCCATAGAAATATACATGCATAAAACAAATTGTTCTGGTAGTAATCAGTTATAAGATATGCTAAGATGCCTTGGTTAGATATCTTGTTTCTGTAGTCACCTGGTTTCAATCTCTGCTGAGCAAAAAGGAAAAGAAAACATCATTGATGTTTTTTAGACCCCCTACATAGCAAAAATATCAGGAAATCATTGATTACTCAGGTGACATCTGGAAATGATGACTTGGCTTTAATCACCCATGTTACATCAACGTCATCAGGCAAACACTTGCTACATGATTTTGGCTCATAAAATGGTTTAAAATAGCTCTGTGGGAGAACCCCTTGTTTTTAGTTAGTGTTTCTCTTTATTCCTTTGGCTTGATCCCATTAAATATGATGTTCCTGACTTTTTGTCCTATTCTGTGGTATCATTTCAGTTCCAGGACATACAGGAGAAATACATACAATGTGAAGCAATGTTGCATGAAGCTCAGGAAGACATTAAAGATCTTCGCAAGCGCAGTTTGCCAAACAGCACCATCCACCACAGTTCCCCCACCTTCTTACCCCTGGTAAGGATAGATAATGCATATATATAGGATAAGAGAATATGTGTATACATGTGTGTGTGTATAAAAGTAGAATATATATTACATATACAGGATATGAGAACAGATGCACATACAATTATAAATAAGATATAATATAACATTATATATATATATATATATATATATATATATATATATGTATATATATTTGTTTTTGTAGATTTTCACGGGTACAGGTATGTAGGTCTAGGTGTGTTCGGGCCTTTTCCCATGTAAGATTAAGAGTATCTTGGTGACGTTTCGGCAAGGTCCCACTCGCCATCCTCAGGCTGGTGCTTTCGGCTTCATGCCAATGCAAGCAGAAGCACTGGCACGAAGCCGAAAGCACCAGCCCATACACATACACATATACATATACATATACATATACTGCGGAGCCAGATGTATATAGTGTCAGGCAGCAGGCTAGAAACTGAGATACTATTATTTCTAGTTCTGCCTTAGGCATGAAACTGGCTTGAGCCAGTTCCTCTCTCGCTCAATTCTAAGATGGAGGAAATGGTGAGCCAGTTCTGAAATTTTGCCAAGAAAAATACAAGGACTTGTTCTGGCAGCTACCAAAAATCAACACTGACTTAAAGGCACCAACAAAACAAAATAATGCTCCATATACATATATAAATATCAATATATAACTTGGTAGGATGACACTTGTGGCAGGAATGAACTGATAGAAGGATATAAACTACTCAAAAGAAACAGACCTAACAAAAAAGGAGGTGGAATTGTATTATATGTTAGAGATCACTTCCTCTCCATAGAGATGCACAAAACCAAGGAAAGCCTGTTAGAATGCTAATGGGTCAACATAAGAGGAAAAAAGAATGATATTATCATAGATATATACTATAGGCCACCCAACCAAGCAGAAAAAATAGATGAACTTTTTGCTAAGCAGTTAACAAATGTATGTCGGAAATACATCACAGGAGTAGTGGGGATTTTAATTACACAGACATTAACTGGGAAACAAACTCAGCAACAAGTGGGAAATTGAACAGGTTCCTGGCCAACCTAGCTGACAACTTTGTTATTCAAAAGGTAGAAAAGGCAACTAGAGGGACAGCCAGAGTGGACCTTATTTTTATTAACAGAGAAGAAGTGATAGAGGGGATTGAAGTTACAGAAATTTGGGAGAGAGTGACCATATTACAATTCAAAACAAAACAGACATAAGCAACAGAACATTATCAAATCAGAGTCTTAGACTTTTAAAAAGTTTAAAAAAACTCAGAGCTTGAGAAGGATTCCATGAATGAAAATCTTAAAGGGGAAATCAACTCAAGAAGCTTAGGAAACTTTGAAAAATATGATTATAAAAACCCAGTCCAGCTCAATACCATTGAAAAAGAAAAACAAGAAATCCAAGAAAAAACCCCAACGTGGTTACATAAAGAACTCTCTGACTAACTGAAAAAAAAAAAGATAAGTACAAAAAGGTGGAAAGAGAGACACATAACTAAGAGAGTTTCAATAAATACCCTGGACCTGCAAGGATGAAATTAGGAAAGCTAAGGCTCAGAATGATGTAAGACTTGCAACAAATGTCAAAAATAGTAAAAAAAAAAAAAGTTTCTTTCAACACATAAAAAAACAAGAAACAAGTTACAGAAGCAATCAGTTCATCAGTGGGAGAAGATGGCAAGGAAGTATCAGGCAGTAGAAAGAAAGAAGATTCTCTCGAATTCATTCTTTGCACCTGTCAACCAAACTTATCAAAAGCAGAACTGCAAAAGACAGGCTAGGAATGCAAATTAAAATAAGAAAATAAGCAAACATAAGATAAGAGAAAATCTGTCAGCTCTAGATGGATTCAAATCACTAGGTCCTGACAGATTACATCCCAGAATTCTGAAGGAACTGGCAGATGTTATCTCTGAACCATTCAACCACATCTTTCATAGTTCTTGTAGGATTGGGGAACTATCTGAGGATTGGAAAAGAGCTGATGTGGTTCCCATCTTCAAATAAGGGAAAATAACAGATCCAGGAAATTACAGATCAATCAGCCTGACATTAATACCTGGTAAAAACCTTGGAAAATATAGCCAAGCAATAAATTTGCAAACATCTAGAAGCGTTAACCAGTAGCCAACATGGATTCATCAAAAACAGATCATTTTATTCTTTGACAAAGTGACTAATTTAGTGAATCAGCAAAATGCTGTGGACATAATAAACTTAGATTTCAGTAAGGCATTTGACAAAGTAGACCACAATCTACTTCTCAGTAAGCTAGGAAATTGTGGGACCAGAGAGATTTGTAACTGGCTGACAAACCATGCTCAATATGTAGCCTCAATGGAACTACATCCACATGGAGGGAAGTAAGTAGTGGGTATCTGAAGGTTCTGTTTTAGGCCCAGTATTCTTCAATATCTTCATAAACTTACCTAGATGAGGGAATAGAAGGGAAATTAATCAAATATGCAGATGACACAAAGCTGGTAGAAATAGCCAACTCCCCAGAAGATAGGCTCAAGATCCAAAAGGATCTCAATAGACTTGAACACTCATCCTTACCTAATAAATGAAATTTTTTTTTTTTAAACAAATTTTATTAATTTTTTTAAAGACAAACAAAACATAAGACATAGGAACATAAAACCTCCTTTCTAAAAGCTACTTATAGGTTTTAACAAAGCAAATGAAACGTTATTTTGTACAGCATAGTTCCAAATTATCACATTTCCATTTAAGCACATATATATCTTTTCCAAATTTCTCGTTATTTCTCCCGTTACTTTTATTCAATTATATTTCTTTCTATCAAGGTTTTCTTCATTCTCAATCAAACATAAACACACAAAATACAAAACATAAAACATAAAACTTCTTTTTGGAAAGTGGCTTAGCCCTGGGTTACATCTTTTTTACAGACCTAAATCAAATTCATGCTCACCTTATATACCATTACTTATCTTATTTACCATTCTATATTTTCTATATAACTTCTCCCCTCTTTTCACTCTCTTAATTATATTTTGTTTATTTCATCTTAATTTAAATCATTGTACTTGTATCTTTTGTCCGTTCTTTTCCAATTATCTATTTATCTCTTCTCTTTAACAGAAAATTTCCCCTGTAATCACTGGTTGAAGTATGACACCTTCTATCTTTCCCCTTAATTTAACACTTGAAATAATACATAATTTCCATTCTGATTCTGCTTAGTACATTCTACATGTTACATTTTAAAATAGGAAAATGATAAATTTATAATATAGTTAAATATATAATTTCCATTCTAATTCTGCTTAATACATTATTTAAAAAAAATGAAATGATAAATTTATAATAACATTAAAACAATAGCAGATAGTTAAACATTTTACACATTCCCTTTAATATTTTATTAAATATTGAAATCTATCATTATTAAGCATTTTAATATTTTAATATTTTGTTAGATCTTATAATATTCCAGTTTTCTATTTCAAATACAAATACAATACTATCTTATGTACTTGGCATAATCTTTTTTAAATTGTACTTTACCCTTTGTCTCTAAAAAAAATCTGCTTTTTTCCATCTTGTTTCAAGCCTTTGTGGCTTTTTTTCCCCTTTTCCCTTCCTTTCTTATCCAATCTGGCCTTTTTACCCGCCCCATCTCCTAACCTCCGCCTTTTTAGCTTCCCCTCTCTGTTGTATTCCTCTTTCCTGTTGCTTTCTGACATTGTATCGATTTTTCACCTTATTTTTCTCTTTCTTGGTTGTTTTTTTAACTCTTAAATTCTCCATTTTCCTTCCCCTCTTCCTCTTTTCTTTCTTAATTAAAATTTTTTGTCCATTAAAGATGGCTTCTTCCTCTTCTTCTTCTTCTTCCTCCCAATCCTCTTGTTGTTGTATTTGCTGATAGGTAGAAATTGCCATTTCTAAAAAATGGAAAACAGCTCCCAAAGAGCCCTTGCCTTCTTGTTCTTCTTCCTTTAATTTTTCAAATTCCATTTTTAATTCATCCACAGATAATGCCATTGTAAAAGCTTTTTCTTCTTCTTCTTCTTCTTTTTTTAAAACAACCCAAATGTTTTTAATCTTAGAGTAGTTTCCAAAAGTCCCAAAGTCATCAAGCAATCCAAACAAACACAAAATGTTTCATCTTCTTCCCTTTACACTTTCTCCTCCTGGGGCAGTATCAGTTACAAAGTTCCAAAATGTATTTTAAAGCCTTATTACAATTAATTTCTGGTCTTATGATCTTCAAGCGTCTCCTCCAGCAAAGTCTTAGTATAATTTTTTTTTGTCCTCTCCCTTCCCACTTATAACAAAGAGCTTTTAATTTTTACCTTCTATGTAAAAGCAGGTTTTTCAATGTCCGTTTGCTATCTCCGTAAGGAAGGAGAGTGAACTTTCCCTTTCAGCACTTTCATTCACCGCTTTGACAGTCTCCTTTGGAAACAATATATCGTTCAAAGAGTCAGATTTCTAGGGTGTTTGGATATATCTTTTTTTTTTTTTAAGCAAGTTTTATTAATTTCAAAAAACAAACAAATCATCATCAACCATTACATATTTGAACCTTTTTCCATTATAGATTTAACAAGTCAGATAAAACCTTATCTTATACAATACATTTCTATATTATTTCATCAATTTCTTTCTGACTTGATTATCATCACTCTCTTTCTATGTTTCTACAAGGTTTCACCAATACTCTCAAAGACATAAACAAACACAAACATACATATAAAAAATCTTTTAGTAAAGTAACTTGGCCCCAGGTACCTCTCTTTATATGGGCTTTAATTATATTCATGCTCATCTTACAGATCATTACTTATTTTATTTACCATTCTATATCTTCCATATAAACTTCTCCATACATTTCACTCTTCATAATTCTCTCTTATTCAATCCATCTTAATTTAAATCATTATATTTATATCTTTTGCCCAACCTTTATTATCCCTCTATCTCATTCCTTATAATGAAAAAAAAAAAAAAGAATTTCTCCTGAAATCTCTAATCAGAGTATGATGCCTTTCTATCCTTCCCCTAAATTAATTAAATTAACATTTAAAATAACACCTAATACCCAATTTGATTCTGCTTGGTACATTCTATCTACTAATTTTTACTTTTAGTAACAATAAAAACAGAGTAAAAAATCAAAAATGTTTAAATACATAATATCCTCCTAAATACGTAGTTAAATAATAAATCTAAATAATAAATCTTATAGCATTCTCATTGCCTTTCCCTTCAATATTTTATTACATTTTAAAAATCAATCATTATTAAACATTTCAACATTTTAATTTCTTATTAACTCTTAAGCCATTCTAATTTTCTATTTCTAATACGAATGTTACAGTACCATCTTGTGTACCTTGCAGAATCTTTTTTTAAAAAAATTTATGCTTTACCCATTATCCCTAAAAAGGATTCCTCTTTTCCCATCTAATTTTAAAACTTTGTGGCTTTTCTCCGCCTTTCCCCTTTCTTTCTTCCCCCACCAAGTCTTCCTACCCCCCCTTCTTCTAACCTCTGTCTTGCCGGCATCCCTTCTCTGTTGTATTCCCTTTTTCTCTTGTTTGCTATCATTGTATTTATTTTGCATCATATTTTTCTCTTTCTTAAATGTTTTTTTAGATCTTAAGTCCTTCATTTTCCTCGCTTTCTTCCTTCCTTCTTTCTTAGATGAATTTTGGGATTCATTGAAGATGGCGTCTTCATCTTCTTCTTGTTGCTCTTCAGCTTCCATCTGTATTGTCTGTTCATAGTTAACCAACGCCATTTTTAAAAAAAGAAAAGCTTTTTCCATACCATCTTTACAGGCTGCTTTTGTTTGCTCATATTCATCCCTCAGTTCCTCCAAAGAAAAAGCCATTATAGATCTTTTCTTTTCTTTTTCACACCAACCAAAATATTCCAAAAGAAAAAACAAGACACCCCAAAGTCCACAATCCTCAATCAATCCAAACCAAGCCAGAGTTCCCCCTTTCTCTTCCAGGGGTAGTATCAGACAAAGAAAAAAAAGAAAGTTCAAATCTGTGTTTTGAAGCCTTATTAAAATTTTATTTCTGTTTTCAAATCCTTAAGGCATCTCCTCCAACAAAATCCAACCAGATAAATATATTTTTTGTCCTCTCCCTTCCGACTTATCCCAAAAAGCTAGTTTTACCTGAAAAAAAAACAGGTTTCTCAATATCCATTTATTAATTCCGTCGGGGGGGAGAGTAAACTTTCCTTTCAGCACCTCAGAATTGCCGCTTATTTCCTCTTGTGGAAAGAATCATCCAAAAAGCCATCATTTTCAGGAATTAAACTAAATATATCTTAGAGTCCTGGGTCAACCAAGAAGACTTTCACTTTTTAAAAACTTTCTCCTCTTCCTCCAGCACATACTTGCCCAGCTGCCGGCTTCTTTGTGGTGGCCATCACGGACCACCGCTGCACCGTCTTGGTAAAAGGAGGTTCTGCCGGCTAGGGAGGGGGTCTGCAGCACCCCCAAACCCTTTCCCGGATCCCCCCTACCTTCAGCTGCCCCTGCAGGGCAGCCTTGCTCCGTACCCTTTCGGGTCGGAGCCCCAAAAACGGCTAGCGCGGCAGGGATCGCGCAGCTTCGCGAATCCCTACCACTCGCAAAGCCGACAAACCGGAAATCCCCCGGTGTTTGGATATATCTTAATGTCCCGGTTTAGCCCAAAAAACTTTCACTTTCAAACTCTTCCTCCTGCACAGTCTTAACCGGTTGAAGATTTCTTTGTGGCGGCCATTGCTGACCGCCACTCCACCGCCTTAGGAAAAAGGAGTCTAGCCGGCTGGGGAAAGGGGTTGCGATATCCCCAGACCCCTGCCCGGATCTCCTCTGTCTTCCGTTACCTCTCCGGCGTAACGACAACCCCCAAATCTGATTGGATCGGGGGTACTTCAGCGGCGAGCACAGCAGGGACCCGCAGAGTCGCGGATTCCTGCCACCGCCGAAGCCTTGCAACTGCAAGTCCCCTAAAATGAAATTCAATATAGATAAAAGTAAAGTTTTACACTTAGGCAAGAAAAAAATTGCACAGATATAAACTAGGTGAAACTTGGCTTAATGCCAGTAACTGTGAGAGGGATCTTTGAGTCCAAGTGGACAATCACTTAAATATAAGCCAACAATGTTCAGTCGCCACCAAAAAAGCAAATGTAATCCTAGGTTTAAGATCATGTAAAATAATTGTACCACTTTACAAAGCACACTTGGAATACAAGCACACTTGGAATACTGCTTCTAGATTTGGTCACACAATATGTAAAAAAAAGTTGAGACTCTTGAAAGAGTGCAGAAAAGAGCAACAAAGATGATTAGGGGGATAGAGACTAAAACATATGACGAACAGTTACAGGAATTGGGTAAGTCTAGTCTAATGGGGGAAAAAAAGGATTAGGGGAGACATGATAGCAATGTTCCAATACTTGATGGGCTGCCACAGAGATTAAGTGGTCAAACTAAAGCACCTGGAGGCAAGACAAGAAACAATGGATGGAAACTAATGAAGGAGAGAAGCAACCTAGAATTAAGGAGAAATTTCTTAATAGTGAGAACAATAACAACTGGAATGGTTTGCCTTCAGAAGTTGTGGTTGCCCTAACACTGGAGGCTTTCAAGAAGAGACTGGACAGCCATTTGTCTGAAATGGTATAGAGTCCCTGCTTGAACAGGGGGTTGGACTAGATCAGTGGTCGCCAACTGGTGGGCCACGACCCATTGGTGGGCCGTGAGAAAATTTTGGTGGGCCGAGAAATCTCACCTCCAGAGTACCTCCCCCAAAGCAATTAATCAAGGCTGCACAGAAACACAAGGCTGTGCCGCCCACATGGCCCGCGGGAACCCACCCTGCTCACTCCTTACCTGGCAACTTGCCTGCTAAATTGCTATTTTTCCTTTTTTCGACCATCATCTGTTCTGCTGTGCCGGGAGATTTAGATTAGCTAGGAAGCAGGAAATGGTTGGATTTCTTGCTTTCTAGCTAGTCTTTAGACCTTTAGCTCTGCTTTTAAGCACAGCCGACCCACCCTTAGGACTGTTCTATTATTCAGTGCAGACTCACGGTAAGCAAATTTAAGAGACTGAGCTTGCCAATGGCAGATAGATGATTCTGTGAGCAATTCAATCTGCCTGCCTGCTTTGCCTGATTTTGGATAAAAGTTGCTCTTTTTTAATAAAAAATTCAATATTTACATATATGGTGTGTTGTGAGTTAATTTTGTGAGTTAGCTTGTTAGTAAATTTTATGAGTTTGCTTGCAAGCAAATTTTATGTGACAGACTGAGCTAACCATTGGCAGATAGATAGATTTCTGAATGAATCTGTAATTCTGTGAGCAACTCAATCTGCCTGCCTGCTTTGCCTGATTTTGGGTAAAAGTTGCTCTTTTCTTTTTAAAAAAATCAATATGTATATAAATATTTATAATATTTACATACAAGTCATGCCCAGCCAGTCACATGACCACCAAAACACACCCACAAATTAGGCCGTGCCCACAGAACCAGTTAGTGGTCCCTGAGGTCCAAAAGGTTGGTGACCCCTGGACTAGATGACCTCCAAGGTACCTTCCAACTGTTCTGTTCTGCTCTGTTCTGCTCTATTTTTAGTGATGAATAACTTCTAGCCTTTACAGAGTGGGGAACATGGGGGGCAGGGGGGGGAGAAAGCACATCTAAGAGTGTGATTGTTTTAATTTATCCAAGACTCAGTTGCCAGAACTGTTTTGCAATGAACTGTTTTGCAGGTGATAGAGGAATAGCATCTTTGAGTAATGGCCAAGAGAACAGTCAATGATTCAGTTTCCATATCACACTGAGTCAATGGTTTAATGAATACATATTTCTTGACTGGAGACAGAATACTATGCCATGAATCTTAGTTTGCAGAACTGGATTAATACATGCTGAGTTTTAAACAATCACACATATTGTGGCTGGTGCTAATGTGTCTTTCTGGTGAGAGTTTAGGAGAACACTGTTCAACTCTGTGTTCTCACTTGGGAAGCTCTAGTCCAGTAGGAATAGAAAAAGAGAAATATCTTTAAGAACTTCCTAAGTACTATTACTTTTTGCTGCCAGAAGAATAGTCTGCCCATGGTTACTTTTTGTTACAGGATTCCCTGGCTGCAGAGATCAAGAGCACAATGAGAAAAGGGATGGACAGCTCTGGGTCATCTGAGTTCAAGTGAGTGGAGAGTACAGTAGCATTCATAGATTGGCAAGAGACCTGAATTTAAAAAAAAAGCAGTTTATAGCTCTAGGGATACCATGGTGATGAAGGAAGAAGTAAGGGATGCTTACTACCAGGAGGTGATATTGTGCAGGAGGTGCTGGAGAAGGCATCAAACTTGTGGAGTTGAACTGACTTAGACTGCAGATAGGTGGAGCTTAGAATACTTCTTGGCATTATGGGC